ACAGTGGATTTATGTTGCTCCCATGAGCCCAGCCCACCTCTCCACTGTGATAATGAATTTCCCACTTTTTACATCCCCCATCCCTTTCCCAGGACCATCCCTCCAGTCAACACGGACAAGCACCCCCTCAGAAAGGCCATTTCCCAGTGCTCCCTGTGCTCTCCTCCCTCCCACATGGGTATCAGTGTGTCCTTGTGATGGCAGTGGGGATGTGGGTGGGTGGGTGGAGAACAGGGCTGGAGGAGCTTTGCTGGATTCATTTGGGGCTCTTGGCTTGGTGCCTGGCTTGTGGAAGTTCAGTGGTGGCTGAGGGCACTGCAAGGAGCAGCCACATCCCTGGGCAGGAATGGTGGCCCCACATCTCTGACAGAGCCCGGTTTCTCATTGTGCCTCTTGTGAGGACACCTCCATGGGGGACAGATTGTTTGGTGGCATCAACAGAGGGATGGGGAGGTGGTGGTGTGGGGCAGGTGCTGAATTTCCCTGGGGACATGGTCCTTGCCCCATGACAAGCAGGCAGGAGTGACCCAATGGGCAGCAAAGGGTTTCAGGGGGCTGGCCAAGCCCCAAGTGGGTTACCCAACACCCGGCAGAGCGTGGCTGCTTAAAGGTGGAAGGACAAGCACTTCTAAAGGACAAAAGCTCCTATCTCCAAGCCCTGCCGCCACAAGCCTCCCCGGCAGCGAGAGTGAAACTGGACTATCTTGCAAAAACACTTTGAGCAAACAGCACTCAATGGAAAGCATCTGATAAGAGCAGCTGCAGTGCTGGTGGCTCAGGCAAGAGGACTCTGGTGCCCCATTAGGGCTGCAGCTCCCGCGGGGCCGTGCCACCTCCGCTCTCCGGGGACGCACCATGTCCACCACCATCTGCCAGGTGATGGGGTTCCTCGTGTCATCGCTGGGCATTGCGGGGAGCATCATGGCCACGGCCATGGACACGTGGAGCACGCAGGACCTGTATGACAACCCGGTCACGGCCGTCTTCCAGTACCAGGGGCTGTGGAGGAGCTGCGTGCGGCAGAGCTCCGGCTTCACGGAGTGTCGGCCGTACTTCACTATCCTTGGGCTGCCAGGTAGGGGCAAAAACACTCCAGGTGTCACCCAGGGGCTCTCCTGGAGCTCTGCACAGTTTTCATCTGATAGGAGGAGAAGGAATCTTAAAGCACTTTGCGAGGAATAACATTTCCAGTGTTACGTTATGAGCATAAAAATAAGAGCATATTTTTTGCCAAAATGATTTTTGTGGTGGGGGTTATTGGTGGGGGTTACAACCTGGAGCATGTGTGGGGGATCTCTGCGTGAGCATCATGAGTTCAGCACCACAGCTGGCATAAATCAGCGCAGCTCCACTGAGGTGAGGAGAGCGAGGATGTTTAACCCTCTAGGTATTGTCCCTTGCAATGGAAACACAAGGAAAAGGGCTGTATGCAATTGTGTTGTGTCATAGGATAATGGAAATAATCGGAATGTATTGTTTTTCCAAAGATAGAACTGGAATGGGAGAAATCTGCCCATGAGAGGCGCAGGTAGGAAGGGCACGAAGGGGAAAGGTATGTTCAGTCACTGCCCATCTCCTGGGCAGTGTTAGTGCCTACAGAAGCAGAGTGCAGAGGTGTATGGCTGTCCTGCTTGCTTGCTAATGTTCCCAAAAGAGCTGTTTTGTCCACTCCACTGCATGTGAGGGTATTCCAGTGCCCTCAGCCCATCAGTAAATTTGGCCCTGGGGGTGTTTCTCACTCCTGGTGCATGATCACAAAAAGGCCCAAGCAAGCACTGCTGTGCGTGGACCTTTTGAAACTGTTGATTCAAGTGTGATGTTGGTTCCAGTCTTGTATCTTCAGGGATGCCATCCTTAGGGATGCCCTCAAGCTTCACTAAGGACCCATGACTCTCTCAGGGATGCCATGGAATAAATGCATCTCTATGTACCCAGCTTCAGGATTGCCAGGTGAATTCCTTCCCATTTGGAAGAGTAAACCTGATATTTAGAGTCACCTCTCCCATGGGAATATTTCTTTTAAAGACTAAAAATTAGATTTATCCAACTATCTCTACAAAATGCTGACCGCTATCTCTTCAGAATGCCATGGGCAGGTGATCGTGTTTTAAATGAGCCATAAGAAAATGGGAACCATCATTTTGATTTCAATTTATCCCAATCAGGATTTTACGTTTTCAGTTATTTTTTAAGTAATATGGCAATGAAGAAATGTGCAAAGCACTCACAGACAATTTCTGTTGTTAGAGATATCCTGTCAGAATTATCTTTACGAAACCATTTAATTGATACATTCCTTCAAACATACAGAAAAAATGTCCCCGCTGGAATTTGCTTAACTTAAACCCCTGCTGGAATGTACTTAATTTTCCTAAAATTTCTATATCCCATCAATTTTTACTGGTCATAAAGTCAGATTCCACCTTTTTATTATGTATTAGCAACAGAAATGCAGGTGATGGTCATTTAAATTACTTGAATTTGTTTTACCTCGCTCACCTCCTAACATTCACATGGGGGAGGAAGATCACTATCCAGTTTCCCTTGCCTCTGGAAAACAGGGATGCAGGCTGTGGTTTCAGCTCACTGGCATTTATTTTGGTGGAGAAGCTGTTTCTGTTGGTGCTTTTGCTATTCCCTTGTTATGGAGCACCAGCTCTTGTATGGAAGCCAGGTTATCCTCTCTCATGCAAAAGGTGTGTGTGAAAGGCAGGTTTTGTAACTTCAGGGCTGTTTGCTTCCTACTGCTCCTGATACCACTTTTCCTCAGTCTCCCACTTTGTTTGTCCAAACCCTTCCACTCCTTCCTCCAAGCAGAGGTCATTCACCTTTGGAAAAACAGCTCTTTTTAAAGGACTTTCAATGGATGCCAAAATTCCCATGAAACTGCGGTGCTGCCTTTCCAAACAGCTCCCACTTCAAGTCCCGTGAGCCAAGTGGAGAAGTCTTCATGCCACAGCAGGAACAACTTCTTTCTCCTTTCCATCTCTTAGTTGAGATGGTGCATAACTCTGTCTCATGGCAGCAGGAATGGCTGATGATGGTTATCTGACATTTTTTCTGTCATGTCCTGCTGTGCTCCTCTCCCTCCCCTTTCCAACAGCTCCTTTTGATGGAGATTCACGACAGTGCTCCAGCAAAAATCGATCATCTTTGGCTGCTTGGCTTGGCCCTGCCTGTTGTGTCCTTCCATGGGCACTCAAGGCACTGGGAACATCTCTCCTGAGAACCAACAAACTCTCTGTGGGATCTTGGTTTTGGGTCACTGCTTGGTGGGTTGAAAGCACCCCAGTGATGACACCCCGGAATCTGCAGGACACACCCAGGAATGAAGCAGTCTTGGGGACAAGGAGCTTCCATCATGATCCATGGGCTTGGATTATCAGCCTCTCCTTCCTGCCCTGAAACAAAAGCATTTGCAAAGAAACTTTGGTGGTTGCAAAGACAAATGAAGATTGAAATTTCCTCCTATTTCTGCTTCCCATCAGGTGCTGCGGAACAACCTCTGAGGGCTGATAAGGCGTATCCGCCATTCCCTGATGGATCATAACTAATGAGCTCCTACCTGGGGGCTGATGAATGGGAGATTGAAAACCCCCGGCTCGTTAGCACTCGTTATCAGCTGATAAGGGCAAATTGAGTCATAAGAGCTGAGGCAGTGGGACTGCTGGATGGGAGAAAGTGGTGTATTCCCGGCCTGTGGAATGGCAGCCCGCCTGCTTCCGTGTGCGCCACGGTGCCAGTGCGGTTCTGCTCCACTTCCTGACACCCAGAACCCTCCTGGGAAGGGTTTACAAACCCTTCTCCCAACCTGAGCAAGGGCTCTGTGCTCCCCTGCACCATTGGGCACCGTGGTCACCCAGCAAAGGGGAGACAGACAGGGCAGAGAAATCCCTGGAGCTGTGGAATGTGTGCTCCACCTATTTCACTCCATCATGAGCCCACTTTCTCTTCCCTGAAGAGGGGAAGTCATGCTTGGGGAGCACCAAAGCCAGACCCAGGCTGTAGGAGCATGTGGCAGGGTAAGGAGAGGCTGCAAAGTGTCCCAACCAAATCCCAACAGCCCCTGAAATACTTCCAGGGCTCTGCTGCCTTCCTGTCTCTGCCAGGGACTCGTGCACAAGTGGGGAGGGGGAGTGTCTGGAAAAAGAAGGTATATGTGCCACCTTATTAGAGAATCACCTTGGTATTCAAGTACTCTTTCCCCCACCACTTCTCCAGTTTTAAAGGTGCAAGTTTCCCTTTACTTCTTCTTTTACTTTTCTACTCCACCCTCTACCTAACCTTTCTACTCAGAGGAGCCTGAATGGTTTTTGCCTCCTTCAGGCCTCAGCTCTCATGGGCATGACCCACCAGCATTCCCAGCTCATGGCATGCTGCTGCACAAATTCAGGGTGGGGTATTTGGATGTTTTATTCATGAACATGGACAGATTTATCCAGGACTGATGTTCCAAACACCGTGGGAAGGATATGGTGAGGGAGATGGCTGCCAGAGCTTTGATGCTCTCTCGTTCTCTCCATGTAACATTTGTCAAGGTGATTTTCCTCTTTTTCATGTGCTTTCCTGGGAAGCAGGAATATGCAGAACTGCATTTTGAGTCATGCAGTAGTTGGAAATATCCTGGATAGGTGGGTGGAGCTGTCTGCTTCCAATACTGACTGGGGAGGAAAGAGGAGCCCTTTCTCAACCACTGTGGTTATGGAACAATCCATGCTTATCCCAGCTCCTCACTAACTCTTCTCCATGAATTTCACGACTGCTGCTATTGAACATTTCTAAAAAAATGCTGCCTAAACCATCAAACTCTTTGGGAAGTTAAGTCAAACAGCTGTACTTCCAGAGGTGCCCCAGATAATACGGAGCAGATCCAGTGCCCATTTTCCAAGGTTTTCTGCTTTAATATTTCTATTTTCAGACAGAGGCAATCTTTGAAAATCCCCCAGACTGACAAATCCCATTTCAGCCGCTCAGCGAGATTCTTGCTGTTTGCTTTGCAGCGATGTTCCAGGCTGTGAGGGCCCTCATGATCGTGGGGATTGTCCTGGGAATCCTTGGCCTCTTCGTGTGCATTTTTGCTCTGAAATGCATCCGGATTGGGAGCATGGAGGACACTGCCAAAGCCAACATGACCCTGACCTCTGGCATCATGTTCATCATTGCTGGTAAGTGGCAACTGTTGTGTCTTCCTCATGGAAGGCTTTGCATTTCCCTGGAATTGAGAACTGGGAAAGTCTTGGTGCATTTCTGAAGTTATTGGCATTGTCCTCCAGCCTGATTTCCTGGGTCCAAGTGATTTTACTTCTGATTAGGGAACAAAAATATCTCTGGAAAACAGAAGTTTCTATGGACAAAACATGAAAGACTGAAAAAACCTCCCACAGATGGAAAAGGAAGTATATATCTTGATTTGTTTTATATATTTTGTTGCCATATCTTATTATAGCCTTTATTTATATAGAATTTTTTTTTTCAGCTTCAGGTTTTATCCATTATAATTTTAGGAAGATTCCCAGGGTTGTTATAGCCTGGTTTGTAGGTTTTAAATACCAGCCTGCAAGGCTGCAGGAATGCCCAGCTTCCTCAAAAGTGCAAATGCTTATTACATCACTTACCTGTTTTTCTACATTATTTTTGAGATAAGAGTCAAATGAAATCTATATCCTAACAAAGAGAAGGAGAATGTCCCTATTTAAAATCCTTCAAATCCCAACACTTAACTTTTGCTGGGATATGAGACATTCAACACAACTTCAGAAAGTATAAGCTGGAAAGAGGAAACCACTTTCTGCCACACAGCATTAATTCTGTATTTTACAGCTATCATTTTAGAGTCATGGAATAGGTTGGGTTGGAAGGACCTTAAAAATCATCCAGTTCCACCACTGCCATGGGCAGGGACACCTTCCACTGGACCAGGGCTCCAAGCCCCATCCAACCTGGCCTTGGACACTGTGAAAGGAAGAGCAAAGCAAAACTGTCATGTGAGGGTTTTCTGCCAAAAGTTCTGGACTTCAGCTCTTCTGGACACCCCGCTCCTATCTATCCTTGGTCTTTAAGGTCCCTTCCAACCCAAATCAGTCTGTGATTCTGTCTTCAAGTGTTCTGTGAATTCCTCTGCTGAGGAAAACCAAAGGTTGATCTTTCTGCCAGGACTGTCAGGGATGGCCATCCCAGACATCCCTCTTTGGATGAATGGAAGGAGTTCCCACCTCCTGGAGCTGTTCTTCCACATCTGGTGATAAACAGGCTGTGAGCCAAAGACATCTCCTCTTTCAAGTGACAGAGGGTGTGTTTTCCCATTAAAAACATCTGTCAGGGAATTTTTGGTCCATGCTTTTCACTGTAAAGCAAATGTTTAAAATGAACTACTGGGTATTTTGTACAATGACCTGTTTGTTAATCTCATTTTTGTGACAAAACACACCAGGAGGAAGATTCCTGCTGGTCTGACTTGGGAATGTGTTGTGCAATATTGCATTCCTGATGTTGCATTGTAAATGCAAGGAAAACTTGGAAGAAAAGTGTAACACGTTGTGTGTCCCCCTTTGTGCTGAAGACCACAGAGCAGTGTCTCACCCACCTTTCCAGACGTGTGAGATGCTTCCCTGAGGCTCCAGGTGACTTCTTGCACTGTGTGGCTCTCAGTCTGTCCTTCTGTCCCCTCTCAGGCCTGTGTGCCATCACTGGAGTGTCTGTGTTTGCCAACATGCTGGTCACAAACTTCTGGATGTCCACCACCAACATGTACCAGGGAATGCAGAACGTCCAGAACAGGTGGGTGCTCAGCTGGCTCTGCCTGCTGCACCGTGGAAATCTCCCTCAGGGGTGCTGCTGAAGGATTGGCAAACTCTGGGAGTATGTTGGGATGCTTGCAGGATTTGGAAGATTATTCTTAGGAGGTAGAGCCTCTTGTCTGGGCTGGAGATAAGCAAATGGGCTGGGATGTCTCTATTCTTACGGCTCAAGAATGAGATAGGGAGGCTATTGTGGTTCAGACTGAAGGTGGGAATTCTGGGGACTTCTGGGTACAACTGTAGGGCCAGAGGGAGTGTTCTGTGCCAGTGTCCAGTGTGTCTGGGCAGCAGCAGACAGGACCTGTCACACCCTAACCAGCCACGCTTGTTTTGCAGGTACACCTTTGGCTCTGCCCTCTTTGTCGGATGGGTGGCAGGGGGCCTGGCCCTCGTGGGAGGCATCATGATGTGCCTTGCTTGCAAAGGGCTCATCCCAGAAGAATCCCGGTAAGCTGAGCTGGGTGGACATGGGAAGGTATTGCAGGAAGCCTGGGTGCCCAGATGTCCCACAGCCGGCCCAGGATGTGTGGATGTGTGACACCCTCGTCACGATAGTTCTTGTGGTTGTGGAAACACAGGGTCCTTTAGGCTGGAAAAGACCTTTAAGATCAGAGTCCATCCATTAATTCAGCTCTGCCAAGGCCACCACTGCCTGAAGTCCATGATTAGTGAGCTGCCCACCGTGGGTCCAAAGTGAGCATTTGCCCTCCCTGACCCTGTGACTCCCACTCAAACAGAGAGGACATGAGGACTGACCCCAAAATGTGACATTTGCACTGTGCTGGTAGGTTCAGGGCCATGAATTGCAGGTTACACAGCAGATCATTAGCAGGGGTAGATTGTATCAGCTGAGCCATGATTTACATGGAATTGTAGAATTCCAGAGCGCTTTGGGTTGGGAGGGACCTAAAGCCCTTTGCATTCCATAGACCAGGTAGATCCTGGTAGACACTTTCCATACACCAGGTAGATCCAAGCCTTGTCTAACCTGGCCTGGAACACTTCCAGGGATGGTGTAACATCACCAGGAATTTGTACCCCAACATATCCAGTTATTGCAGGAGGTCCATCACTCCACAAATGGTTTGTTTAAGGGAAAGAAAGTATAAGTTTATGAAAGAACCTGAAAGGGACTTGCAGCTTTCCATGGATGGTAGGCTGAGCTCTCTGAGTGCCTCCAAGTGATGCACAAAGATCCCTAAAACCCACCCCTGAACACAGGGTGCCATGTTGGGCAGTCAGAGCCCCTCCAGAGGCTGATGTTCCTCTTGTGTCTCTTCCAGCTACAAAGCCGTGTCCTACAACGCCTCGGGACGAAACATCTCCTACAGGACAGGGCCCTACAAATCTGGCTCGGGGTATGAAGCTGACCCAAAGACCAGGAAGGGTGTGGGATATGAAGAAGCTCCTCGAAGTGAGGATGGGAGACGCCCGTACCCTTCGAAATATGACTACGTCTAGCAGACCTTCTGGCCTTGAGTTGTGCTATCAGAGATTTTTAACTTCACAAGCAAAAAATGCAGCAAACCAAGCAGTCTGTAAATAGGATTGTGTTTTCTAGTAGGTTTTCTCTACTCTGAGGTTGCATCTTTGTTGTGAACATCAGTTTTACTTGACTGCCCATTAGTATTAACAGTGCCAGGAGGTCTGTGACCAAAGTAATGCCTTGTGGTGCTCTCAGAGTAGAATACTTTGCTCCTATTTTCTGTATAAACTGATATCCAGGAGCAGTGCCTTGTGCCCTTTCTTAATTGCTCAAATAGTGGAAATATCCCTTTAATAATAGCTGTGTATTTTAATTAAATTCTGTTGTGTCCCATTGGTTGTGCCCAAAGCAAACAGAGCCAGTGGTCAGGGCATTTTCCTCCCTGGTGACTTCTCTACCCAGTCCCACCTTTGCTTCGCTGGCTGTACTCTAACGCTGATCTGCTGATATTTAATCTGATTTCTGTTACTTAGACATTTGCTGGAGCCCGTGATAGCAAAGTGTATTTATTTCTTTGGATCTCTCCAGGGAATGTGCATAATCCATTGTTATTCCTGCACTAATAGCTCCCAACCTCCATGTGCACCGGTGTTCCTGCAGATGTCATCTTTAATGGAGCCAGGAGAATTTCTCATTTAGAATTAATTAGAGTTACCTGTGGAGCAGGAATCCCAGGGAGCATTAGATGTGTAACTCCGCACCGACATCAGGACTTCCCTGTGGTAATTCTCCCCCCAGTGATGGGAAGATTAACTCCATAGTGGAACATTGCCTCCTCCAGCCAATCCTTCAGAGAGGGAGTTTATCTGAAGGGGGAAGAGGGAGACATGTCAGAACATTTTTGGGAACAGAGAGCTGTGAGCTTTTAGCAGGTCTTCTCACCTAGTGTCAGAACACATCCTAAAAAACTCTAGACAATGCCTATGAACGGAAGAAAGGGATAAGTTAAAGAGAAAAAGGGGTTCCAGACCCTACAAAGCAACCATTTAATGGCATCTGCAGTGGGCTTGAGCACCACTTCTCAGGATTACAAGTTCTCTGAAGGAATTCAGTTCAGGCAAAATGGTTTTGGTGAAATGCTGGTTTTTGGTGAAGAGCTGGACATTTCTGCAGAGCTGGACCTTTGGAAGGTCAAGTTACCACCAGGTGAGCTGGCATCTCTGGTGGCTCTGAGGATTAGAGGGTGCAGGCTGTGTTCCCAGTGAGCACAAACTGCATCCCCCTCCTCCCCATGTCCAACAGTGCTCCATAAACCTCTGCTTCCATAATCACCAGCTTTCCACTGCCACATGGAGGCAAATCCCCAGCACAGGTCCAGGAGATCCCGGGGAAGGTCAACAAGAGGAGGAGGCAACACCTGGCAGGTGGTTGGAGGAAACAACCACCACGCAGAGGGGTGGGAAGAGCTTCTAGCCAACAGCAGCTCAGGCTGGATCTTGGCAAACTGGGACAAACCCCTGTGGGATGTCAGTACTGACCCTCCCTTTTGTTCCAGCAAAAAACTTGTTTTTAAAGAAGAAGAATTTCTTTTGCAGAAGTAGATCCTGTTCTATTTTAAAAACATTGCTACTCTTTTCCATAATTTGTATCTCTCAGTATAAACTTAGATTTTCTGCCTTTTTTTTTTTTGCCTGCTGGATTTTTTTTGCTTGTTTGTTTTGTTAGTTGTTGTTTTCTTTTTTTTTTTTTTTACGTGAATATTAAAAAAATATATTCTTAAAGACCAGAATCGCGGTTTCCAGATGTTCTCTTCTTGTCAAAATCATCAGCACCAACCTTCCTGCTCAGGCAAAGCCCCCCAGCTTGTGTTCTACATGTTCTTGGGAGGAATATGGACACAGATGGGTGGTTGAGGGGAAAAAATAAAAATTTTGAGTGTTTTATTTCCTTATAAAAGTCACACGATGAGAGAAAATATCAGACAATCAGATTAATAATTATTGGGGCCCCAAATCAGTGATGTGATGAAGTCAGAGATTGTTGGTGGGCTTGCTGAGCAGTAGAGTGCAGCAAGTTTCAGGGTAGAGATTAAACACTTCTAAACACTTCATTGTTTTTAGGAGGGCAGAAAAATTGCAGGTATGTTCTCAGCCTCCACTGGAAAGGGGCTGAAAAGCCCAGGAATGTTTAATTTAGATAGGAAACACATAAGTGGTGCTGAGGGAAAGGTACACAGGGGAAAGCGAAAGGCAGGAAAACACCAAGAAAATTTCGAAATGCAGGTTTACGGCTGAGTTAGAACTAAAAAAAAATCCTAAGGAAACAGCTTTGAAAGTAACATTTTATTTTTCTGCTACACAAATGATGTGACAAAGTCCCCGAGCCAGCTATCTCTCAGTCACACTTTGATGTGTGCAGGTGTGTAGATGACAAGATTAGGGGCAGGAGCCTTATGGGGAGCTGGGAGAGAGCTGTATCCAGGAATTCCTGCCCTCGCTGGGCTCCTAATCTTCCAGCATCAGTTTTCATTTCCTTGCCTCGGCCGAAAACTCGCAGGATGAAATATTTTAATGCAGTGAACTCCGCTGAAAAAAATCCCATTCTAGAGCAGAGAATCATTTATTTATGAGCCTGTTTGTGGTGTAACTACACTTGGTGTTACAGCTGCTCCCGTGTTTGTGGCCCTGAGGGACCTTATCTTGTTCTCAGCACCACGGAGGGTGGTGAACATCATTGTTGGGAATGACAGCACCGGGAGAATCCGCAGCCACAGCCACGGAGCTGCAGCTCCTGCTGCAGGGAGAACTTGGGGTTTGGACTTGGAGCTGCTGGAGAGAGCCCAGAGGAGGCACCAGGGTGAGCAGAGGGATGGAGCAGCTCTGCTGGGGGAAAGGCTGGGAGAGCTGGGATGGTTCAGCCTGGAGGAGAGAAGCTCCAGGTGACCTAATGGTGACTTTCCAGTGCCTGAAGGTGCAAGAAAGATGGAGAGTATTTTCTAGGGCATGGAGTGCCAGGACAAGAGGGAATGGCTTCAAACTGACAGAGAGTGGGTTTAGATTAAATATTAGAAAGAAATTCTTCCCTGAGAGGGAGGTGAGGCCCTGGCACAGGGTGCCCAGAGGAGCTGTGGCTGCCCCTGGATCCCTGGAAGTTGGACAGGGCTTGGAGCAACCTGGGATAGTGGAAGGTACCCATGCAGGGGGTGGGACTGGATGAACCTTAAGGTCCCTTCCAACCCAAACCATTCCATGATTCTATCATTCCTTGTCTTCAACACAGACCCAAGTATCACCTTTTCAGCTGAGCTGATGTCTCCTCTAAGTCCTGAAAGCAAAATTACCTCCTTGGGAAATCTTTGTGTCTTTACTGGGGCCAAAGTTCCCTTTTCCAAGCTTTCCTCTGTGGCTCAGCAGGCTATAAAACCATAATTGTGATATCAAAATTATTTTTTGGACTTGGAGATCCAGAAGGTCACCCTGAGGATGACCCAATGTGTTGGTGACAGCTCATAATGTCTCAGGGCTGTTATGTGAAGGACACAGACCCCTGAGCTACATCCACCACCAGTGCAAAGGGAAAGGGGACACTTGCCCAGGTGCTGCCTGGGGACCATCCTGGGGCCACCCACCCCAAACACAACCTCTGCCCCCCATGCCATGCATTGCAGGGAGACCCTTCACCCTCAAGGATGTGAATTTGGGCTCTGAGATCCACCACATGGGGCTGGAGCTGCTGGAAGGAGCAGCACATCTGGAGCACACAGCGCTGGACCAAATCCATCCTGCCTGGCTGTGGGCTGGGAGGGGCAGTTCCATATTTGCTGGGCTGAACTGGGCTTGCTGGTTTAACCAATTGCACAGCTGCAAGGAGGTTTGGATCTGTGGAGTTGATTGCCTGGAAAAAACCAGATCCCAGAGGCTGCAGAACATGGCCCTGTGAGTAAATCCAGTGTTTCCAGCTGCTGTTACTGGTGAGGGGGGGAAGAGAAACCTCTCCCACCTTTTATTTTGCCTTTATTAACCATAAACTGCAAGGGATGGATTTGGTAGCACTTGTAAAACCAAGGGAGATGAGTCAGGGAGCTCATGAACAGTTGTTGGGGGTTTTGTTTCCATAAATTTGATCATCCTCTGAAAAATGCATTTCCCGTTCAGACGAGCTAATTAAATCTAGGCTTGTCTAATAAAGCTGAGCCTGCAAAGGCTGGGTGCATTATCTGACAGCTCTGAACAGGTTCTTTCCAAGGCCCTGCAACATCTGGAGTGTGTGAGAGCACGCTGGATTTGCATGGAGTTTGACCAAGGGACAAACTGGAGCTACAAATTGGACTAGGAGATAAGAACTCTCCTGAAATCTATATGCAATTAAAAGCCCAATCGTCCTCTCTATAGTGACAAGGTTATTGCTTTTATAGAGTTGAACAGAGATGAATGAGTCTATGGATTAATGGCACTAAGATTTATGACACTGTGCTTGCCCCAAATGTTATGGGAGAATAGCTCTCCGGGTGAGATATTCCAGCTGAATAAATTTGATAGGATTTTTATTTTCCTTTATTATTTTTTTTCAGCTTTGGGAGAGCTGTGCTACATTCAGAGCTTGTTAGTGCCGTGGGTTGAATATTTACTGATATTCCCTTGTATATTGATGATTTATAAAAGTATTGCCAGTAACAGGAGCCCATGAAGACAAAGTCATTGGGAAAAACAAAACCCACAAACCCACTGATCTGTGTGATTTCTCCTTCATTTAATTGGCCAGATCTTTATCTTGCTGGCTCTGGGCTTGTTTTACTGTTCCCAGAGACTCCAGAGAGGATAAAGCCAAAGGAGTAACTTCTGGCAGGAGAAATGAGGTGGCAGCAGCTGGTGGAGACCATGGAAAAGCCTCTGTGCTGTGCTGAACTAAAAACTTAAAAAATTAGGAGGGGGCAAATAAAAACCTGTGGGAATTCAAGGGGAGTAGTTTGGAAGGGATGGAGTTACACACCCAAGGCAGGGCAGAGGGATGAGGACTGAGGGAAAACCCTGCCCAGGGAAACAGGGGTGTGGGACAGGCCCTGCTCCTCCAAATCCCACCAGGATGCAAGGTTTGCAACATCCGTCACTTAACAAAACTTTGGGAGTGTTTTAAGGCAGGTTGGAGAGGGATTGGAACAAGCTGGTTTAGAGGAAGATGTTCTTGGGGCTGGAACAAGATGGGCTTTAAGGTCCCTTCCAACCCACTATTTTCTGATTTTGAGGCAAAGCCTTTGGGGGTTGAGTGTCTGAGTCCAGAGTATCCCTTTGGCTGCCCTGGATGCCTCGAGACCCTGGCAAAGGGCTCAGGAACCTTGAGAGCAAGTCAAAAACACCTGTGGCTTTGATTTTAGCCCATGGGAGAGGCTGCCAGCCTTATATGAGAAATTACAAGCCAAAAGGGTTTGAGTAGCGTAATACAGGAGTTGACATAGAGCAGAAAAGTAGAATTTAAGGATTTTTTTAGAATGTAATTCAGGGGTACAAGATGGAGGAATCCGGGCACGCCCTAGCCTGTTCTTCCTTCTTCTTGTCCTCCATGTCTTGGTGTGATAGTGACACTTTTCTATTGGTCTAGAATAGGGACAACACTGTCCAACGTAGATTTTAGGTATTGGTATGGGAACTGTAAACATGGTACATGTAATTTTGGGTATATAATGTGGGAGATGCCTGGGGCTGGAAGGAGACTGCCATGGCTTCTGTACTAGCTGGACCTCGTCAGGTCAGAGAGAAACTATTATAAGATAATAGTAAGAAGAATAAGAAACTATTATAATATAATAGTAAGAAACAATAAACAACCTTGAAAACTCGGCTTCACACATTCCAGACCTTTGCTTCAGCAGCCAGACTAGGGAAAAAAAAGACTTTCACACTGCTGGGGTCTTGCCAAGTTGACCCCAACAGTTGAGCAGCAAGGACAGGGATGTGTTTCCCAGCCTGACCCACCACCCTGCACCACCTGCAAGCCCCAGGCTGGCAGGGCACAGCAACAGCAGGGATTTGATCCCAGCTTCCCATGGAACACGCTGGCTCAAGATGCCCAATGTGGAGCAAAACCTCATTTTTCACATCTCGACTCCCTCACTGGTCAGAGAGTGAGTGCCTCCTTCCTCTTGGCACAAGGCTCTCAGCTATTTCTGGACTTTCCCAAACTTATAAGTTTCCCCCCACTTTTCCACCACCATTTGGACTTGGTGTTTGAAGCTCACCAAAAGCACCTCAGGCAGGAAAACCGCTGGGAAAACCAACAGAAAAGTGATTCTTGCACATGCTGGCAGCTGAATGAGCAGGCACCTGCCTTGGCACCAGGTTTGCCACGTTGACAAGGCAGAACAGCTCCTGCTTTCTGCCCTTTTCCTGCCTGTTTGCTTCTTGGGGCAGGAATTTGTCTTCCCATTAGTTTTGGATGGTGACAGCACCAGTGCCCAGCCAGGGTTTCCTGTCAGCCCTTCCATGGAACAAATGCTCACTGCCACCTGGAGCTTTCTACAGGTAAAAAGGGGTTTTCTGCTTATTTGTGAACAGTTGTGCAGAAAATATTTTATTTTTTCCCAGAGGAATTAAGTTTGTTCCCCTTGTTCTGCTCAGCCCCACTCGGGTGTGTCCTGCTTCCTAATATAAAAACCCACCTGGAAATGGGAAATAGGGAGGGGTAAGAGTCTGAACCAGAAGTGGAGTGGGTTGGAAAAGAGAAGAGGAACTGAGCACCAGTTTCCC